CTATTACGAATTGAGCTGCAATGAATAATCTGGTGCAAATATGTTTTTTGCAAAGCGACTTTTGGTCTTTTGGATATACTCCTAGTAGAGGAATTGCAGGATCCAATGGCAGGTCAATTTTTAGATCCCTGAGTGTTCTCCAAACTTCTTTCCAAAAGGAACGTATTAGTTTGCTTTCCTACCAGCAGTGGAGAAGTGTTCCCTTTTTTCCACATCCATCCCAACATCTGTAGTTTTGGGATTTTGTTATGTGGGCTGCTCTTACTGGAGTTAGATGATATCTCCAAGTGGTTTTGATTTGCATTTCTCTGATGATTAAAGATGACGAGCATTTTTTCATGTATCTATATACCATGTGCCTGTTTTCTTTGGAGAAGCTTCTGTTCAGGTCTCTTGCCCATAGTGAAATGGGATCACTTGCTCTTTCCTCATTAATAAGTTTGAGTTCTGTGTGGATTCTGGTTATCAGACCTTTGTTGGAAACCTAACCTGCAAATATCCTCTCCCATTCTCAGGGCTGTCTACTTGCTTTACTTACTGTGTTTTTGGCAGTGCAGAAGGTTTTTAGTTTGATCAGATCCCAGTAATGTATTTTTGGTGTTGCTTCAATTGCTCTGTGTGTGTGGGGGGTCCTCCTCATAAAGTTTTCTCCCAAGCCAATTTCTCCAAGTGTTTCTCCTGCAATCTTTCCAAGAATCTTTATAGTTTCCTGTCTTAGATTTAGGTCTTTTATCCAATGAGAGTCAATTTTTATTAGAGGTGAAAGGTATGCATTTAAATATAAGGCTACGGGATTAGGACATGCACTTTTTTTTTTTTTTTTTTGAGATAGAATCTCTCTCTGTCATGCTGGGCAGAGTGAACAAAAATACAAACCCTCCCAAACACCAAAAGAAATTTTAAAAAGAGAAAAGTATGCTGAGAATAAAATACACAGAAATTATTACGTTAAATGACATGACAGAGTTGAAACCAAACATATCAATTATGTCAATCCATGTGAATGGGCTTACCTCACCTACAATAAGTAAAAGATTCTCAAAACAAAACCCAACTCCCTACTGTACATGAGAGACACATCTAAAATAATTTGGAAAGGCTAGACAAAGGGGATGAACAAAAGTATACACAGTTACTGATAAAAAAAAGAAAAAAGCAGGCCAGGCTCAGTGGCTATGCCCTATTATCCCAGCACTCTGGGAGGCCAAAGCAGGTAGATGGCTTGAGCTCAGAACTTCAAGACCAGCCTGACCAAGAACAAGACCCTGTTTCTACTAAAAGTACAAAAACTAGCCAGGCATTGTAGCTGGCAACTGTAGTCCCAGCTATGAGGGAGGCTGAGGCAAGAGGGTCATTTGAACCCAAGAGTTTGAGGTTGCTGTGAGCTATAAGTGCCACAGCACTCTGTCCACAGGGTGGGATGACAGAGTGAGATTCTATCTCAAAAAAAAAAAAAAATAAGGTACAAGCTCTAATCCTGTTAATAGACCAACAGTATTGGCTAAAAATCATAAAAAAAAAGAATAAGGATACTTTATGAAGTAAAATCCCACATTTATAATGAAGATATAGTAGTTATAATTGTCTACTAAAATAATCCCACAATGTTATAAAACAGATAATAAAAAGACACAAGAAAAATACAAAAACATAGTAAGAAGTTTAAAGATACTACTGTAAGTATGAGAGAGGCCAAGCAGACAAAAAAATAAAGATGTAAATGTTGTATTGGCACCACATAAACAGAATCAAAAACAAAGACCATAGGATTCTTTCAACTGATGGAGAAAAGGCTTTTGACAATATTCAGCATTCTTTCATGATAAAAACACTCAAGAAAATAGGCTTTGAAGGAACATTCCTTACCTGATAGAGGCTACATATAGTTAACCCTCAGCCAATATCATATTGAATGGAGTAAAGCTGAAAGCATTCCTACTCAAATGTGGAACCAGACAAGAATGCCCACTGTCTCCACTGCTATTTAACATAGTGTTGGAAGTCCTAGCTATTGCAATCAGGCAAGAGAAGGAGATCAAAGGAATCCAAATGGAGGTCGAGGAGGTCAAACTCTCCCTCTTTGCAAATGACATGATCTTATACCTGGAAAACCCAGGGACTCAACTACAAAGCTCTTAAAAGTGATCAAGGAATACAGTAGCATCTCAGCATACAAAATACCCACAAGTCAGTAGCCTTTATATATGCCAACAATTGTCAAGCCAAGAACAAAATCAAAGACTGCTCCTTTTATAATAGCACCAAAAAAGGTGAAACACCTGGGAATATATCTAACAAAAGACATGAAAGATCTCTATAAAGAGAATTACGAAACATTGAGAAAGGAAATAGCAGAAAATGCCAACAAATAGAAGAACATACCATGCTCACGGCTGGAAGAATTAGCATCAATAAAATGTCCATACTACTCAAAGCAATATATAGATTTAATGCAATCCCCAACGAAGCACCAATGTCATACGTTAAAGATCTTGAAAAAATAGTACTTCAATTCATATGGAACCAGAAAAAACCCTGAATAGCAAATACAGTTCTTAGAAATAAAAAATTATTTCTAATCTAGTTGCCAGATTTCAGGTTATATTACAAGACTATAGTGATCAAAACAGCATGGTACTGGCATGAAAACAGAGACACAGATCTAT